CCAGGTTTGAGGTCATTCGTGCCGTGCGAGAAGGGAAACACAGTTCAACAAATATCCAAAAAACAGCAAACGCACCTTCGGTTCGGTTTGAGCGATGTGTATTACGCCTGCTCCACTCTCAGCTCGATCGATACCCTTCCTAGACGTCTCCGACGGGTGGGGCAAACGTACACTTGACTTCTGCAAGTTCATAGTGATTTTCACTCTGCCTGCATTCCATGAATATGTCTAGACAGTGTTGCGTCAGAGCTTTAGCTGAGAGAATCCCTTCTGCCAATATTCGACCGTTTAGCACGCCGCGGAATCAGTATATCGGTCTACGTCCACTTGTCGGCTTCCATGGTGGAGTACTTTGTCCGCCCGGTACGCCGCTCCATATGTAGCTCCTCTAACCGTGATTAAGCTGTACCCATTGAGCCATATGAACATACCATCACGAGATGTTCTTACGCCAGTACGCTCAAGTCACTCGATAATATCTAGCTGCAAAAACGTACAACAAACACAGTACTTCTACAATACCTATATAGTCCTAAACACACTTACCGGCCCTGTTGGGAGCGTCTTGTTGAGCATGTGACTGGCAACAGTATTCATGAACTCGACCACCCTCCTTTCTCCTGGGTGCCTTACATCCTGGCAGCTCACACTGATCCTCCTGCTTATCTGCAGTAGCTACACAAACACATATGTGGAGGGGGTTATAGCTAGTCCCTCTGCTTACACAGGTATATCCCCTGGGGACTGAAGGAACTTTAACCATTCACATTCATTACAGTGACTCAGCAATATGTAGACTATTCAAGTCCATAACTACACTTACGCAGTATATTCATCTTTTTCCCCAGCTCTGCATGGGTCTTCCCGCAGTAGGGGTGGGTCACTCCAGAGGGATCTGAGTATTTCTTTGAGCTACATCCAGGGATGATACACAGTGAGCTGTCCTTAGGGACACTGGGATCAGCTGGTGGGGGTGCTGGAGCTGTTTTAAAAATTACCGATCATAGGTTTGTAATAAATCATTGGTTAAGCTTACGTTCAAGGCCCCTCTTGTGGCCAATGTCTGCATGTGTTCGTCCACAGTAGTTCTTGAAGGGCCACACAATTTGGTTGCACTCTGGCAGTAGACAGTGGGTAACCCCCTTAATCACTTGTTTCTCTATGTGGAAGGAAAAGTTGACTCTAGTATGTATAGTCTTGTAGCATGAATTTCTCAGGAGTAGACTGACTCTGTCTTACGTTGTTCAATGGCCTTTCTCCTCTGGTGCTCCATGGCATGTGTGATCCCACAGCACTCATGGACAGTTCCAGCTGGGTCGACAAAGCACGGATTCTGGCACTCTTGAATGGCACATTTCCTCAGTCCTGAAGGTAGAGTAGGCACAGTCTGAGGTCCAGATGATGCTTGCCCTGGTGGTGCCTGTCCAGGCACAGGTGCCTGCCGTGGTACCTGCCCTGGTACAGGTGTCTGCCCAGGTTTCTGTCCATGTAGCTGTCCAGGTAGCTGTCCAGTAGCTGTAGGAGCAGCAACTCCCTGTTGAGTCTGTGGCTTTTGTTGAGCTGAGGTAAAGGAATAGATTACGTACACAGCAATGAAAGTGGTTTGAAACTGTATATACATACATTGTCTTTTCTCAAGCTCTCTAGCATGCGTTCGTCCACAGCACTTGTGGACTTTGCCATTCTTTTCCATGTAGCTGGGTCTCGGGCACTCGGGGATGGCACACTTTTGTTGGCCTGGCACTGAGCATTGGGCTACTGTCATGGACGCCACTCTAGCCTGAAGGTGATCGACTCCCTGAAATCCCGGATAGAACTGAGCAGGAGGAGCTACGGGAGGCTGCATTGGTACTGAAAATGCGCCTGATCCATCACTCACAAACATGCCAGTTGGATAAGCTATGTGGAGAGATGGGATAACATTAGGATGAATAATTTTGTACTACCTGAACTTGCCCGCTGGCTGGTGGCCCCAAACCGGCATGGGAACGGCGCTCGTTACGTCAGCTACGTAACTTGCTTCGTAACTGAAATCACCATACTCGACGTCCTGCACACACATCACATCCCCTCCAGAAGGAATCACTTCTGTGGGTCCTTCGTACCCCTCATGCTGCGGACACCACGGCTTTTCCGTGCCCGTGTTAGGGTCAAAATCCAAACCCGAGTAGCACCCCGGGTAGCGACACGTCTTTTTCGCACCGAGTTTGCGGTGCTTCGCAGGTGCATGACCGCAAGCGTTACACTTCCAGCTTCTTCCTTCGCCATCTGCACCTCCACTTTCAGGGTAGTACTGCGCGCACCCGCACGCATTGCAGGCGCCTCTTATCACCCCTCGAGAGTCCTCCATCTTCTCCCACCCGACCATCCGATCCTCAGCGCTGAACTCAGCGCAGCCCAGTAAAACGGGGCGCTAAACTGCGCGTAAACACACCCACAGCGCTGCGCGTCGCGTGCGTAAACGAAACGTGACGGAATAATCCGGGTGTTGAGCTGAGCTGGGTAAGTCCACTGCGTAAGACAAAAGAAAGAGATGAACGTCGATTCCCGGGGTGTCGCGAGGGGCTGCTGCAACTTTCCAGGGTGCTCCTGTTTCGGCTACGACGGCACCAACTCCAACGGAGGAAAATGCGATCGGTGTGGGCACCCACCCCCGAGGCACGCTAATTCCTCCATGATGGCGCCCGCGCACCCGGTGATCATGACGCTAGCTAGCGACGACTCCGGCGAATCTGGGTCCTTGAGCTTGAGCGGCACTTCGAACGATGGGTCCACCTTTGACTCAGTCCCCCCTGTCATCAGTATCAGAAGGATCGTCGATTCCACGCAGAGCTTACGCGTCGACTCGTCCCCGCGAGCTCAGGCCGCGTCTCCCCGGCCGAGTCCTCGGCCACGTCCTCAGCCACGGAGGTGTTCATCGCCTGCTGGATCAGAGCGTCCGCCACCGCTCCCGCCTCGTCGCTCTCGTAACGCCTGGTCTTTGGTCCCTCTCCCTACTTGCCAGTACCCGAATTGCCAGAATCCACAGTTCTTTGACCTAAACACAAGGACTGATCGATGTACTGCAGTGAGCACAGATTTGCACCTCCTCCTCCTCCTTCTCTTCCCACTCCGCTACCATCAGATCAGTTCACCCAGGGGCTGGACATGTCAATGAAAGGGTATGTTGCGCCTGACGGAATGATGGGTTTCCACGCGACTCCTCTGCCGATACCAAACCCTCAACCGTTCCCACCCCAGCAATGGGCTGATGTTTCGAGCCTTTTTACTCCACCACAAACTCTATTGCACCCATCTCAGTCAGCCCCCAATTTCCAAACTAACCCACCGCAACACCAAGCTGTGCAAGCAAATCCTTTAGCACCGCCACCGGGTAAGCTACATACATACATAATGCACTTTGATATAACCCGGGTGGGTTCATTAGTAGTTTTTCCCCTAGCCCTGCTTCCTGAAGGCGAGCGTTGCATTTACCCTATGTGCAATAAGAGACGGTACAAAGAGGATGATGGAAAGATGCACAACTTCTGCGGGAGGTACCATGCCACAGAGTACAAGAAACTCAAAGGAGGTATGAAGGGTGTGGGGGTAATATACCTGGATGTCATGTAACAGAATATTTAAAGAGCCCGCAGAGAACCATGTTATCATTCCTTCCCTTGCTAGAGTCATTCCCGCCGGAAATGAAGTGTAAGACACCTGGCTGTACTCGACAGAAACGTGCTCGTGACGAGGGAGGAGGCTACTACGACTACTGTGGTAGGAGCTGTCGGGATGGCAGCTTCAGAACGAAACCAGCAGGTATTTATTGCATATGCATGATGCACGCGTCTTTCCCAACATAATATAGCATTACAGCACAGGTATTATACACGTCCACCACAAGTTCTTTTCAGCTGCAGGTGAAAAGTGCAGCCTTCCTGGATGTGACAAGCCAAGATTTGTGGATCCAGCTAGCGGGAGAGTCCACGACTACTGTGGAATAACACATGCCAACCAAGCCACCATACAGAGCGGTGGTGAGCGCTTATTCATAGCTGTGCATTACGTGTGCAGCCCTTTCTACCTGTTAGGGTAGTTCCCTGGGACCCCCCCTTAGATAACTCCTCCACATACATTCACATTGTCACAACTTTCAATGGTGTTGTGTGTATGCATAGTTTTTCCTATATACAGGCGTGTCTCAAGTGTGCAGCGTCAGACTGTTGAGTCCTGGAGAGCAAGGTCCGGTCCAATCTCACTTCAGTAGCCAGTGGGCCAAGGGAAAAGGTGCCTGTCCAACCATCACCTGTGCATTTGAAATCACCAATCAGCAACTCGAGACAAGGTGGAACACGTACAAACAATCCCTTCCGAGAGGTAGTCAATGCGTAGAAAAGTACTACCATGGAACCAAACTTAAATGTGACATCGTTAACGCGGGGAACCCCTGCAATGATAACGACTGTGGAATTTGTGGAATCAGTAAGTTCGGGATGTTCAGGAAATTCATCCGGAGGAACATAAACTTCCAGCGTTTCGGTCACGGTTTCTACTTTGCCCCCAACTCCTCAAAGTGTCACGACTACACCCAGGGAGTCCAGACACACCGCGCAATGCTCCTGGTGGAGATTCTCCCCGGGAAAAAACACACAATTCTCAGTAATGACGTGAAGCTGACCAACCCTCCAGACGGATGTCACAGCGTGTTTGGAAAGCAGGCCAAGCCCTCAACTACGCAGAGTTGGTTGTCTATAATCCAGACTGTGTCATGCCTCGATATATCATAGTTTACGCATTGAATGGTGTGCACAAAATTGCAAACGTGATGCACAAAAAGATTATGTAATACTGTATGTTTTTCAAAGTGTTTTGTAGAGTATTATAATCAAGGTTTCTGGCGAAAGCACGACTCGCACCAACTCCTTCCCGGGTTTGCTGGGTTTACTGTGCACTTTTTGCACATCGGAGTGAGCTGGGGCTGTTGAGGCAGCTGCTGTTGCTTTTGCTGCATTTGGTGGTGGTTGGCCAGCATGGGCCCCTGCTGAAGTCACCGGTGTTGCTTGGGGAGTTCCTGTCTTACCTGTTGGGGAGAGTGTGAAAAATCCAAGTGACTAACAGGCTAAAAAGCACAGACCAGCTTGACTGGCAGATGCTATTTTCTGTGCATGGAATGAGCCCTGCAGTTGGCTGTGTTTCTGGGCACAGGTCCTGCTGCAGTAGGGGTGGACCTTGTTCCCCTCCACTCGTCTTCCATAGGGACAGCCGGGAAAACCACATGTCCCCTGGCTCATGGTTTGGGCGGGTATACCTACAGCAGATATATTGTGCTTAAAAACATTACGTCAGGACTTTCATCCCCCCCCCCCCCCCCCCCCCCCTTATAGACCACACATGAATGTACATACCAGGTTGTCCCATCATGCCAGACTGTTGCTGGGTCATCATTTGACCTGCCACACTCATCACTGGCACTGTAGCTGTTTGGGGTGTGAACTGGGGAGCCTGATGCGGCTGCTGCTTCTTTCGTACTACGCGAAACGGATAACCTGGCTAGCTACGTTAGGCGTTTTATAGAACTCACGGGCGTCGGCTCCTTCGTGGGTGCTGGCACTACAGCCACAATATTCACACTCGGAGTAGCTGTTTGGGACCTCGGACGTGTATTTGTCACAGTCGCAGCCCTTCGTCCTGCACCGGCCCAGCTCCACTATCCGGACATGTTCCGTGGGGCGGTGTCCGCAATACTCGCACGATAACTTGCCGCTCTCTGGCGGCGGCCTGTACTCGATGCATTCACAGCTGTTGCACTTGCCCCTCTCTATCCCCTGGACGTCCTTCATGACCAGGCGGCTTCTCTACCTGGAGTCTCTCGCCTCCGGTCGCGGACCTCCGCGATGCTACGCGCCCACACGCGCTAAAGGCACGCGATTAAACGCGCGTGTGTGATGCTGCTGCAGGTGTTCATATTGCTACTCTTCACGTTTCTTTGCTGTTTCATATTCGTAAAGTGTGCTGATGGCCCAAGAAGACCTCGTCCGAAGCGTAAGTTGGCCTAAAGATCAAGTAAGGGTCGAACTAGCTACGCGGCCGAAGACAAAATTTTCGCGGGCTACCCCGCCAAATTTTTGCCGTCTATTACACGCATGCGTGTCCCTTTTTTCAGGGAATGCCAAGGCGCAGTCCACTATTTCACCTTCATATCGCATTGAAAATCTCTCTGCTGTGTGTAACGGAAACGATGGCTCTGTCAAGTGACATGGTCACTCAATCCACCAGACATTTTGACAAACTACTTCATTTCTTATCGGAAACAATTTGAACCAACGAGCTGCAGTAAACATTCCTTCTTGCAGAGCTATAGGCTCACCCGTGAGCATATTGAACCCCTGAATGTATATGAGATAAAGGTTTGGCCCAGCAATTGTGAAGCTGCCGCATCATCAGTCACTGTCTATATTGGTAAGTTGTTTGTTCACTAGGAGTAAGTTGTTTGTTCGTTAGCATAAGTTGTTGTTCACTAAAAGAAAACATTGTGTTTATTTTAAGATTGGTACTGCAAATTTCCTGGTTGTGAAAGTAGCAGACGCAAGAGAGAGGAGAAGTCTTACTCTTCATTCTGTAGTGAAAAACATGCAGCGAAGTTTGGTGAGTGAAAGTTAGCATCTTTAGTTACCCCACGTGTGTAGCTAGGTAGTCTCTCCAGGTGCCAGCTATTGTTTGTATCCTGAGTGCACAGAAAAAGCATCTCATGGCAATTTCTGCTCCGAGAGTCACCTTGAGAAAGCAAAAAGAGAAGGTAGCATAAACTACAGCATTGCTATAGTAAACCTTTCATTTTAGGTGTTTGTGGACTGGTAAATGCGAGCGGGCAGTATGAAAAGCTCAAGAAAAAATTTTCAAAGAGTTGGTGTTCTAAGAAAGGAAATGTGCCTAAGATATCCCACGTTTTGGAAATTGTGAATCCAAAACTGCAGCAGAGATTAGACAACTATGTCTCGAAGCTATCGTGGCCATACAATGGAGTGGAACAGTACTACCACGGAACTCAAATCAAGTGCGACATGCTGGAATACTATGAGCCTTGTTCCAAATCTAACTGTGGGGTGTGCGGCATTTCAAAGAGAGGTTTTGACCCTCAGCGGATAAACAGTAGCTCGTGGCAGAGGTTTGGAAAAGGTTTCTACTTTGCTCCCAATTCCTCAAAATCCTACGACTATCCTCGTGCCACTCACGATGCTACCGACAAGTACCACTGCATGTTAGTGTGTGACATCGCTCCTGGATGCAAGTATACTCTGTACAAGGATGACCATCGATTAGAGGTCCTCCTAAGGGATATCATTCGATCTACGGAAGCTCCCAATGGCTTTGGGGACTATGGAAGAGTCCAGATATGAACTATGACGAGCTGGTGGTGTTCGACACTGAGGCAATTAGACCACGCTACATCCTTTTTCTTGAGAACAACTCATGATGTATTCAGTACGTTCTGTTAGTGAGTGCTTCATATTTTAATCTCCATTGTTGTTAACCCCTGAACGAGCACAGGGCTTGCCAGCTATAATGCTACGTGACATAAACATCAGTATAGAATGCCCTTGCGCAGCGCAAGCAGAATGTGTAAAATGACGATCTGCAACTCACCGGGATAGATTGAGAGATGTTTCAGGTTTGGAATCGTAAGTTTACAAAATTATTTTCGTATGGCCGTGTATTGTTTGGTAATTCGCCTTATGGTGTTGGTTTAGCTGGATCTACAACGGTATACTATGCCTCAATTCTGCCGTTGTTTTTTAGCACATATAGTGAAGACTAGTGCAACATACTGGGATACTATGAACCTTGTTCCATGACTAAAATGATGAGATACAATAAAAGCTATGAAGCTATCTTATGGACACCATTGTGTTTGTAGAGTACAACATACTGCGGCAGGACTGCCCCTACATCATATACTACAATCTCATCGTAGTTTAGACTTCCCCCAGACTTCCCATACACTGAGTGGTACTGGGAGGGCGGCTGTTGAAGGGAAGTGCTGTCGTGCAGCAGTTCATACTGAGCTCCACAAGCCACTAGACACAGCAGCTGAGCTCTCGTCCCATACTCCGGAACCCCCTGGGTGTAATCATGGCACTTTGAAGAGTTAGGGGCCAGGTAGATACCATGACCAAAGCGTTTGAACCGAGGTATGTTTTCTCCGATTCTCGATGCGTCGAAACCGTTCTGAGATATTCCACATATGCCACAGTCTCTGTCGAAGCAGTATTCGTTTGTGTTCTTCAAATCGCATTTGAGAGCAGTTCCGTGGAAAAACAGATCCGAGTTTGCCGACTCAGCGGACGATTCTTTGCGCAGCTTCGCCCCGTAGTGGTGGAAAGCTTCTACTAGTTTTGTGTTCTGGACGGCAAAGATGGCCTCTGGCTGGGGAGGGTTTGGGAACTCAGTCGTCATCTTTACCCACTCCTTTACAAAGTGTTCACTCACTTCCTTGTATGTCTGTTGGTCTCCATTTATACGAATTAGACCTACAACAACAACAGTTCTTGCTTGTGGTTCAGTGCAGAAAAGTTATACCTTACCGGCTCCTGATCTAAGCGGTGGCTGTACGGCCGGAACGGCGACTATACCGCGACCAGACGCTTGTGCTGTGTGTGCGGCGTAGCAGGAGGAGCACAGCTTGAACGGAAAGTTTCTGTCGTTCTCCCCGCACTCGTAGCACTTCCGGTGCTCCTGGAGGCACGAACGGCACGCCACGTCGCCGGGTACCCGAGGTTTTCGGTCGCATATGAAGCACATTCTCTCCTTTCCATTCGCTTCGGTCGCCATAACTCAGCGATTGCGGCCTGCACCTAAGTTTTCGCCCTACAATGGGCGTGGCTAGGTACGCAACGCTCGCGCTCTGCCTTCCACACGCGCGCACTTCCGCAAATTGGCCATCATGCATAACACGCCCACTTTCGGCGAGCTGGGATAAAGATGTCCTGGATGAGCGGTAGTCAAGGCATGTCCTACAGCAGCAGTAAGTTCTCGAGTTTATCTCCCCATCGCTGCTCACCCACCTTTCTGGCCGCCTTTGCTCAGATCCTGGCTCGAGTCACGTGCCGCCGCAGCCAACATGCAGATTCCCCGGCTGTGCAAGGCCCTGCTACGTGGAAAGCTACGGTCGAGTCCACGACTTCTGCGGCAGAACTCACGCAAACGAGTTCGCTAGACACTACGGCAGACATGGAGCGAGTACGTGTGTCCGTAGCTAGTTCCCCAAAATCAGGCTTCATTCATTGTCTGCGGCTGCAGGTTACAGCCTGGCCTCAGCTTCTGGTGCGTCAGCTCAAAGAAAGAAGCCCACCTCCACCACGTCTGGTTCTTCTAGTAGACAACCCATGAAAGCTGTCTACCAGCTCCCGGGTGCAACTGGCTATGGTGCTAGCAGAAGCAACCAGATCCGATTCTATAACCGCGATGAACCGTACTACGAGTTCACAAACTTCTACCCAACCAATGTCTTCATCGATGGTAAGAACTGGCCGACGACCGAGCACTACTTCCAGGCCCAGAAGTTTGTGGGGACTCCGTACGTGGAGAAGATCCGGAGATTCCCATCTCCGAGAGATGCATTTCAGCTCTCGAGGGATCCGTTGGTTTCAAGATGGCGTCGCAGTGACTGGGAGAGCGTGAAAGACGACATCATGCTCAAGGCTCTGAGAGTCAAATTCTCAGAAAACGTCACCCTGCGTGACAAACTGCGCAGTACGGGTGAGAAGGAGTTGGTAGAGCACACGTCGAACGATTCCTACTGGGGTGACGGGGGAAACGGATTGGGACAAAACAAGCTCGGAAAACTCTTGATGCAAGTTCGAAGAGAACTGAAAGAAAAGTACGGTCCCTACACTTCTGCACCCCCGTACCATTTCAGTACACGGGATGACAGCAGTATATCACACCGAGCAACGTCGACCCACACAACACCCAGACTGAGACGTAGCAGCTCTTTTTCCAATATCTCCAGCAGTCGTCCTTCATATGCACCAGCTGCTAATCCATCTGGAGGCGTGTCTGGATCCACTAGATCATACATGGGGAAAAACTTCAAGCCAGGTGCAGCTTCTAAAGTGCCACATGTACCTTCACCAAAAGTTGGTCGCAGTGCAGGGAAGTCCAACACAGCTAGTACGAGCAATGTACACAAAGTAACTTCGGCTGTGACAAAGGCGGTCGGGAATAGTATAAAGAATGCAGTTGCTGTTATTAACCACAAAACTGGTAACAGTGGTTCTGGTAAACCGACCGGTTCAGGTAATAAAGTCTCGCATGTCTGATAAGATTGCATGAAGCACTGTATAATAATCCTTTTTTTTTTGAAAAAGTGAGTTTTGTGTAGCATCTTTCTTTGATTGACTGTCAGTGGCAACATGAGTAAAGGAGTCTAGAGGAATAGACGTTGAGCGAGTGCTGACTTGGCCAGGACACATCATGTTTGGAGCATTCATAGCAGCTGACACAGCAGCTTTCATTGGGAGTAGCTTGACATTATTCACAACCCTCATGCATTCTGATGCACACACTAATATTGTTTGGGGCTGTCAGTTGGGGAAATATCAGACTGAAAGTAAACACCCATGCCAGGTATAATTATAGTAGCTACGACATCTCACTGTCAGGGTGTGGTTTCGCTCTCATTTTTCAACATTCATTGCATCATTAGTTCGGAGGTATAATTATAGTTGAGATTTTGTGGACACTTGTGCATCAGTTGTTTCTGCAGTTTGCATGCAGTGGGTGTGGATCCATTCTAGAATTCACGGAATTGAGACGTGTCACTCGAACTTGCTTTTCGTGAATCATGCACAGACAAATCTGGTAAGAGTAACATCTACAGAAAGCATTTCTGTTTCTTGAAGTCTTCGACTAGCGACTGAAAATGAGTTCTTGTGTTGGCATCAAGAGATGCCTGCACGGAGGCAGTTCCTTCGTCTGAGCAGTGTCTCATCAGGGCATACACTCCAGGTAACAGGGAGGTCTGGGGAGACAGGCAGACACAAGCAACTCACATAATGGTGATTCTAATGAGTGTAGGTTCACCTTGACTGGTTTGGCTGGGAGATTCCGGGCCATTGCCGATATACAGCAACCGAGGACGACGGGAATGTACTACAATAAACCCGAAAATGAAAGTAAGAGAAGGAAATAAAATTGGGGGCTTACTTCGTTGAATTCTTGATGACTAGCCAAGTGATCCAACACTCTGTACAGAGAAGCATTCATTACACAGCCATTGATTATTTGCTAAAATGTGAGCATACTTCCGTGCGTATACCTTGACAACGTATTTGCAACATCTGCACCGATCATCTCCTCTCTTTCTTCTTCCCCTTTCACTGCACACTGTTCAAGAGCCGTCTTCACCAGTTCTTGTTTTGCTTGTCAAAGAAAGTCACAAAGCAAACGCTACAGATCATTGGATGGGGCTTGCGCAAGAAAGTTGGTGGAAAAAACTTGCAGAAATAAAGCTAGAAACAGCAGTTTGATTAATGCATGCACAGACCCCACTGCAAAGGAGCCCTCCCTTTTTTTAGACCGCAGTCACGCGCAATTGACCAATCAGATTACAGAATTGCGGGGGGTTTATTTTTCATAGACACCTCGTTTCAGGTGTCTAATGGCGTTTGCAGGTGGTCTACAGCAAACTCTCCGTACAAAATGGCTATTCTCAAAAGTCGTTATCTGCGCAAACCGGCCCGATTCCGCGTTCGGTATATGTAAGCGTAGAAGGCGCGACTGGCAAAGTAGCTCTTTTAAAATGCGTAGTGCACACCTGCAAGAAGTTGTGGACAGTCTCCGAGCTCGCGAAAGTCAGAAATCACGTCAATATTCCACGAAAAAAGCGTCGGCTTCTCAGCTCTGGCGATACACAAACACATGGGCCGTTGCCGTGCGTGTAACCCTTTCAACGCGCTACCACCAATGAGGGCGTTTTATGATGACGTACACGATTTTGACGGGGGGCGGGGGCTGTCTCCTCGGAGTCTCACACGTAAAAAAGCGTCTTGTTCCATCCGAAGGTAAGGAATGAGGAATGAGCGCAGCGTTGCTAGCTTGTTTGCTACCCATTTGAACGCGCAAACACCAATCAGATACTCCGGTCTAAACCGGTTAGACGCGGAAGCTCGGTTGTCTACGCAACATTGCAACCCTCGGGGCATGTGGGTAGCGCCCTCGTTGCGCTCGGGACGCCAACATTCCACAGCCCCTCGGGTTGCAATGTAGCGTAGACACCTCGCTTCCGCGTCTAACCTATATTTAAACCGCTGTACAATGAGAAAGGATACTGTTTGTTGTGGTGACGATGAGTCCAGGGCACGAGGCAGCCACAGAAGAATGGTGCTTGAGGACCTTGAGCAGTAGCTGACTCAGTGACTGCAGCACTTTCATAGCACACCTTTAACAGAGAAGGACAGTATCTATTCCCTGTACATTTCTTTCCACTGAAAGGGTAGCCTCTCTACCAAGGACTAGCATACTATAGTAATACTAAAAGAACCCTCCAATAAAGGACACATCCATCCACGTCCCCATTATTCAGAGGTTTCACTGTTTTTTTACCTCTGACTTTTGTAATCCTGAATGTCCCCTACGGCAGCAGACTGCTGCAGAGACATGAGGACCAGTCTTGAATCCAGACCAACCTATAGCGTATGGACTCTGTTAAACACTCAATGGACAGACAACGAAGTCTTACGCACCTTCGCTGGCAGGGAAACCAGACGAACTGTTAAGGTCAATGACAGGATACTGATAAGGGCCACCCCTCTGTGTTGAACAGCCAGTGACCCGCACTGTAACAATATCTGCGGGAAAACGTTAGCTACTCAAAACAGTATTTCTCAAAGTTGTATACTTTCGTTATTGCATGCAACTGTTTTTGGCAGTCAAACTGCAAGCCTAACTATCCGATTGCTGCACTCTTCAAATACCACTTTTTACAGATGGTGGAAGGAGAGACACATACCTTTGTGTGCCATTTTCTGAGCTCTCTCTGGCTCTCAGTCTCAAGTCTAGCACCGAGGACCAAACCCCAACAGTGGCAGACAGCCACGGCAGCCCCTACGTCCTCACACGACTGTGGGAAACAGAGTTGGAGGAAGACAGATGAGCGTTTGGCTCGCACTGCACAGCACTGCTCCGATAGAACCTCGAGCAGTGCCTTAGCCTCAGAATCCAGGCCTTCCCCATTTACACGGTGTTGTAGAGAGCGCGTGCAGTAATGATCTGGGAGCAACTTCTAAAAGAAGGCATGGGTTCCCGAGGCTAGCAGTGCCCATCAAGTGTTCACGACACGCACTGTATGCATCCATACCTCTTTGTGTAGTAACTCGAACCATGACTTTGCCTGGTCCCGGTTTGCCGCTGACAAGAGCCTATTCATCAGCTCACTGAGCTGAGGCAGAGCAAGCTGAAGTTTACTGCCACTATTAGAACTTTCACTGCTCTTAGCTGCACCACCTAACACTTGTAGGAGGTAGTGGTAATCGTCGGAGTATGGGATGAGAGCTCAGCTGCTGTGTCTTGTGGCTTGTGGGGCTCAGTATGAACTGCTGCACGACAGCACTTCTCTTCAACAGCCGCCCTCCCAGTACCACTCAGTGTATGGGAAGTCTGGGGGAAGCCTAAACTACGATGAGATTGTAGTATATGATGTAGGGGCAGTCCTGCCGCAGTATGCTGTACTCTACAAACACAATGGTGTCCATAAGATAGCTACATAGCCGCTATGTCACATCACTTTCATTATTGACACTATTATAGACAAACATGTGTTGTTTGTAATTGTGTGCAACTAGGGTATACAGGACTACTAAAGCAAAAGCACCGACTCACATAAACACAAATGCTGTATTGGAGCTGATCCACACACATTATCATGAGTTGTTCTCAAGAAAGAGAATGTAGTGTGGTCTAATTGCCTCCGAGTCGAACACCACCAGCTCGTCATAGTTCATATCTGGACTCTTCCATAGTCCCCAAAGCCATCGGGAGCTTCCGTAAATCGAATGATATCCCTTAGGAGGACCTTGAATTGATGGGTCATCCTTGTACAGAGTATACTTGCATCCAGGAGCGATGTCACACACTAACATGCAGTGGTACTTGTCGGTAACATTGTGAGTGGCACGAGGATAGTCGTAGGATTTTGAGGAATTGGGAGCAAAGTAGAAACCTTTTCCAAACCTCTGCCACGAGGTACTGTTTATCCGCTGAGGGTCAAAACCTCTCTTTGAAATGCCGCACACCCCACAGTTAGATTTGGAACAGGGCTCATAGTAATCCAGCATGTCACACTTGATCTGGGTTCCGTGGTAGTACTGTTCCACTCCATTGTATGGCCACGATAGCTTCGAGATATAGTTGTCTAATCTCTGCTGCAGTTTTGGATTCACAATTTCGAAAACGTGGGATATCTTAGGCACATTTCCTTTCTTAGAACACCAATTCTTTGAAAATTTTTTCATTAGTTTTTCACACTGCCCACTCGCATTGTCCAGAATTACCAGTCCACAAACACCTAAAAGCGAAAGATTTTTTTACAAATCCATAGTAAAGCATATAATTACCTTCTCGTTTTGCTTTCTCGAGGTGCCTCTCAGAACAGAAATTGTCATGAGATTTCACTGTGCACTCAGGATACAAACAGTAGCTGGCACCTGCAGAGATGAAATAACTATAAACATAGGGTGGCTGAAGATTCAAACTCACCAAACTTAGCTGCATGTTTAGGACTACAGAACGCAGAGTAAGATTTCTCCTCCCTCTTGCGTCTGCTTCTTTCACAACCAGGAAATTGGCAGTACCAATCTTGAAACACAAACCGTTTGCTCAAAAAGCTATCATAATCCCAATGAACAAATGCCGCTACTATCCAAATTCCAATGAACAAACAACTTACTACAATCCTAGTGAACAAAGAACTTACCAATATAGACAGTGACTGATGACGCAGCAGCTTCACAATTGCTGGGCCAAACCTTTATCTCATATACATTCAGGGGTTCAATATGCTCACGGGTGAGCTGATAGCTCTGCAGTAAGGAAAGTCTACTGCAGCTCGTTGGTTCAAATTGTTTCCGATAAGAAATGAAGTAGTTTGTCAAAATGTCTGGTGGATTGAGTGACCATGTCACTTTGACTGAGCCATCGTTTCCGTTGCACACGGCAGAGAGATTTTCAATGCGATATGAAGGCTTCCCTGATGGAAGGAATGATACGCATGCGCGTAGCTATACACACTCGAAAAGAGCCACAGAATGTGAGCGACCTTTTTCAGGTGAACTTACGGTTCTGCTGAGCATTTCTCCGGCTACAGTAGAATATGAACCAGAAAAGGAGGACAGGGAACGTGCAGAGTAGGAACAGTTCGAGACTTTTCCACATCAGGGTCAGTCTCGTCGTATCGGATCGTCACCTCTGTCGTCACGCGTCATCGACCGCATGGGCGCGCGGGAGCTTGCGCGTGCGCGTTGTATACGGAGCGGTGGATTTTGTCGGTTTAAAAAATTGGAGCATTTTCACACATTGAAGTAAATGTTTCATGATTGCACAAACGTATTCTGAAGAACGAGGATATAGCGTGGTCTAATTGCCTCTGTCTGATAGACTACAATTTCCTCGTAGTTTAGTCCACTTGGAGAGCGGTTGACTTTCCCATACACTGAGTGGCAGCCGAGTGGCGGTCCTTTAAGAGATGGTTCGTCCTGATACACAATATGCTTGCGTCCGGGAGCAACTTCACAAACCAGAAGACAGCGGTGTATGGGCTGTTGTGCTCGAGGACGACGATAAAGGGAAAGCGGGTACTCATAGGCTTTTGAGGAATTAACGGCAAAGTAGAAACCTTTTCCGAACCTCTGCCACGCTTGAGAGCTTATCCGTTCAGGGTCAAACCCTTTCTTGGCTATGCCACAGGCTCCGCATTCGGCGTTGGAACACACAGATTCACCTCTTGGCATGCTACACTTGAATGCAGTTCCATGGTAGAATTCCTCTATGTTTCTGTATAGTGGAGGCAAACAGCAAATGTAGGCTTCGAATCTCTGTTCCAGTGCTGGGTTTAGGATCTTCAAAATGAAGCATATCCTTGGAAGGGGTCCTTTCTCATGACGCCAGGTTGCTGCAAATGAGCGTTTCAGCCTCTCAAACTCCCTGCTACCATCTAGGTTCATTAACCTTGTTTGCTCTGTATGAACTATATGTACATTATAACGGCAGTGGAAAGAGTAAACACGCTTTTGTTTACTCACCAGGTTGGGGAAATCTCTGAAAATTGATCCTTCCTTCAGAAAGAGCACAGCCTGGAGAAGCATGCATGCCTACAAAAATATATACCCCGAAAAGCTGTAGTTTTTAATACAACCCTGTGTGGTGGCCAGGAAAGAGTGTTTTTTTTGTCTGAGAAGAAATAAAGTTATCATCAATGCACTACTGATTATTTGCCCAAGTATGCTGCACCTTAACCATGACTAAGGGCCGGATACTTGCTGGCATACATTATTTATATATACCTTGAGTGGGGGGACGAGTAGCTAACAGCAGAAGTTGTGCAAACCAAGGTGAATGCCTAGCATTTGGTCATCTTCGTATTGACTCACTCTGATACTGTTGGGCATGGGAGCGGCTGCAGTAGTCATGGACTCTGCCTCCTTCAACATAGCAAGGCTTTAAACATCCAGGAAAACTGCATATGCGAGGACCTATACATAGAGTATTAAAATCATCTAGCTACATATTGTATATACCTCCTGTGAACTGAATTGCAATTTATTTTTCTCTAATGTGTCAAACTATTGTACAGACATTTAGGTTTTTCGTCTTGAATGCTTCTATTCAGGGAGGCAGATAGATGCAACTACAATCAATACGCAACAGGTTTAGGAGTATATATGGCTGTAGCTATCCCTGCGTATTAGGTCATTGCACACATTACAGGAGGATTATAGCTGCATGCAGAATTTGGGTGGGAGGACAAAATGCTTGTTCAGGGAATTTAACAGCATTGCTATGCCAGCATAATTATGTAGCTATACACAATAATACTCACAATAGTGGTGTTGGGCATGGGCACGGCAACAGTAGCCATGAACCTTTGTTCCTTCGATAAAGCAAGGCCTTCGGCAACCAGGTGAACGACACAACTGAACGACTACAGTTAATTAAAAGTAGAATATTATGCTACACTCATGATCACATGAAAATCAAACCTCGGACGAATCCAGGTCTGGATCTGTGTGCTGCGGATGTATTCCAGCTACTATAACACCGGGCAGAACAGAACCTATGTTGGCCGTAGATAATGTCGTTCCCCACAAAAAGCGCACGACACTGCTCGCATTGAGAAAAGGGCATCCGTTGGGCCATCTGTCCACTAAGAGTTCCAATTCCCTAGTGGTCGTTTGTGATTTGTAAGCTTATTATAGCGTGCGCAGAGCAGGGAATATCCCTGGGACTGAAAGCAATTTGTGTTTACAATAGCATGTGTGTTGTAGCATCTGCTCAGCGGCCAGAGCGCGCAGTACAGTTCGCGCATGCGCAAAAAGCGCAGCAGAAAGCGTCGCGGTCGCATGTGTGTGCAGAAAGGCAAGCTGCAGTTAATTGTTTGTGCCTCGAGTGCATACGCATGTAAAGCGAAACCATCCCATGATTTCTCAATTGCGGAATTTGTAGATTGGTAGCTGCAAGCAAGTGATAATAATTATAAGAAGATTGAAGATGTTTATGCTGGTGGAAACTTGCACCCCTAACTGTAGCAGAGGTTGTCATAGCCCTACAATGGGGTCATAAAATGAGAATGCTAAGTACAATAATATTACGAGAAATGCCACTTGGAGTTGCCAAATCTTGTCGCAGTCTATAGAAAGCGTTTCTGTTTCTTGAAGTCTTCGACTAGCGACTGAAAATGAGTTCTTGTGTTGGCATCAAGAGATGCCTGCACGGAGGCAGTTCCTTCGTCTGAGCAGCGTCTCATCAGGGCATACACTCCAGGTAACAGAGAGGTCTGGGGAGACAGGGAGACAGGCAACTCACATAATGGTGATTCTAATGAGTGGAGGTTCACCTTGACTGGTTTAGTCGGGAGATTACGGGCCATTGCCGATATACAGCAACCGAGGACAACAGGAATGTACTATAATAAACCCGAAAATGAAAGTAAGAGAAGGAAATAAAATTGGGGGCTTACTTTGTTGAATTCTTGATGACTAGCCAAGTGATCCAACACTCTGTACAAAGAAGCATTCTTTACACAGCCGTTGCCAAATGTTCTGTGTGTATACCTTGACAATGAATTTGCAACATCTGCACCGACCATCTCCTCTCTTTCTTCTTCCCCTTTCACTGCACACTGTTCAAGAGCTGTCTTCACCAGTTCTTGTTTTGCTTGTCAAAGAAAGACACAAAGCAAACGCTACAGATCATTGGATGGGGCTTGCGCAAGAAAGTTGGTGGAAAAAACTTGCAGAAATAAAGTTTTTTTCTCTAAAGCTACCAGGTGCAGCAGTTTGATTAATGCATGCACAGATCCCACTGCAAAGGAGCCCTCCCTTTTTCCCTCCCTCCCCCTCTTCCCCAGGAGTTAGAGTCCACAGTGTTCCATCTGGACAGGGATAAGTCGGACCTGTTTTAAACCGCTGTACAATGAGAAAGGATACTGTTTGTTGTGGTGACGATGAGTCCAGGGCACGAGGCAGCCACAGAAGAATGGTGCTTGAGGACCTTGAGCAGTAGCTGACTCAGTGACTGCAGCACTTTCATAGCACATCTTTAACGGAGAGAGGAACAGTATCTGTTCCCTGTACATTTCTTCCACTGAAAGGGTAGCCTCTCTACCAAGGACTAGCACACTAAAAGAATCCTCCGAATAAAAGAACCCCCTGACACATCCATCCACGTCCCCAAAGTCTACCTTATTCAGAGGTTTCACTGTTTTTTACCTCTGACTTTTGTAATCCTGAATGTCCCCTACGGCAGCAGACTGCTGCAGAGACATGAGGACCAGTCTTGAATCCAGACCAACCTATAGCGTATGGACTCTGTTAAACACTCAATGGACAGACAACAAAGTCTTACGCACCTTCGCTGGCAGGGAAACCAGACGAATTGTTAAGCTCAATGACAGGATAGTGATAAGGGCCACCCCTCTGTGTTGAACAGCCAGTGACCCGCACTGTAACAATATCTGCGGGAAAATGTTAGCTACTCAAAACAGTATTTCTCAAAGTTGTATACTTATTGCATGCAACTGTTTTTGGCAGTCAAACTGCAAGCCTAACTATCCGATTGCTGCACTCTTCAAATACCACTTTTTACAGATGGTGGGAGAAGAGACACATACCTTTGTGTGCCATTTTCTGAGCTCTCTCTGGCTCTCAGTCTCCAGTCTAGCACCGAGGACCAAACTCCAACAGTGGCAGACAGCCACGGCAGCCCCTACGTCCTCACACGACTGTGGGAAACAGAGTTGGAGGAAGACAGATGAGCGTTTGGCTCGCACTGCACAGCACTGCTCCGATACAACCTCGAGCAGTGCCCTAGCCTCAGAATCCAGGCCTTCCCCATTTACTAGAGTACGCGTGCAGTAATGATCTGGGAACAACTTCTAAAAGAAGGCATGGGTTCCCGAGGCTAGCAGGTGTTCACGACACGCACTGTATGCATCCATACCTCTTTGTGTAGTAACTCGAACCATGACTTTGCCTGGTCCCGGTTTGCCGCTGACAAGAGCCTATTCATCAGCTCACTGAGCTGAGGCAGAGCAAGCTGGAGTTTACTGCCACTATTAGAACTTTCGCTGCTCTTAGCTGCACAACCTAACACTTGTAGGAGGTAGTGGTAATCATCGCTACTTCCACTTGAAATTCGAAGTTCTCTCTCGAAGAATAGTTTCAGTACTTTGAGTGACTTTGACCAGGAAGAAGTCAGAGAAAGGCACACTGTTTTTGCGTCTTCCTCGGTTATTCCAGTTGAGATACTCAGGACATCCAGCACTGGATACAGCTGTGGATATGAAATGTAGTCGGAGGTAGGGTTAGCCAACATACAGTACTCTAATGTTCGCTCATTGATATTAAGTAATGTTGCGAGCGTGCTCCAATGCAAGCGTGCTCCAATGCAAGCATTAGAGCATGCATTAAAAATCTGGTTCTGCATCTATACATACCGTAGAGAGATCTGTAACTGCCCCTTGTAGTGATTGCTCACTGCAAAACATTTCCGACAGCCACGAAGCCGTCGTCACAGACCTAAAGAGATAGAGCTTCTATGAGAACAACACATCTGCTAGGATCTACAGAACACACAGATGGCCACTTTTAGTATTGCTGAAGTGTGTAATGTATGAAATGCTATGTGACAGTGCTACAGAGAGGTTTTACAATCACGAACTTGATATACAACTGAAAGAGAGGGAGGTAAGGCTTGAAGGAGGAAGGGAGGGAGTGGAAATGGGTCATAGACACACATACTTGAACAGAAGATCGGAGTCAATAGAAGGAGGGCTGGTCCTGAGGAGCAGGGAGAAGGCCGACACTAGCTGTGGGTGGAATAAGGCACTCTTCTTCTTAAGCTTGGAGACACACTCTCTAGTCTTTCTTAGCAACTGTTCCACTGGCTGGTGCAGGAAACTGTCCTTACTGGCGTAAACCTGCAAGGAATTATTCGGTTACCGGTCATTCGCATGAGCTATAGTCATTTTTAATTATTCACTAATTCAGTCACATAGACATTATGCAGCCCATTTGACTCGCGTGCAATAAAATGTGCCACCCAATCCAAGCATGTTGTTGTGATCTAGCAGTGACGTGAGTCAGCTGCATACCTTGCACAGTTTAGCAACCATCAGGTGAAGCACAGATTCTGGTAGTGATTCCGGTAGTACCCCAACTAATGCAGTGACATCTTCCTTGTATGTGTGTCCGCTACCAGTCAGAGCTACCATCAGGTCCTCCACCACCGTGTGAACGAAGCTCTCTGGATAGGTACCACTCTTCAGCGCATTCTCCATCACTGCTTCCATTAGTAGCAGGGACGCCTTTTTAAACTAAAGAACGGCATGCGAAGGGAGAATAAGAAAAGGAGGAGATTATTGTGCATGCATGGTTGTTTTAGAGAAATTCCAAGTGGGAATTTATCAGATTCTGCGAGGTGGCTTTGCGCATGTGCCAGAGCAGTCAGCATGTTGTGCCGATCAGCGCTAGAGAAAACATGATCATCCTCCTAGCACTGATACCTTCAGTTCAATTTTCGATACTTTTGTGCACAATAAAGACAGTGATTTGTCTAAGTACCTCTGTTGTTTCAACTTCGATGAGCTTCAGGCAGCATTTTCTGGCAGTGTAGGACCAGGAGAGCAAGCCAGAGAACGGGAGAGGAGAGAGTCGTCGAGTTCTCTTCTTCCCCACTCTGTCGCAGTTGGCCAAGGAGTGCAGCACCCAGGCCAGCACCAGCTCCAGCTCACACAGCTGCTCTCTTCTTTCCTCCATCGACTCACATAAGACCTCTCTGTAGCACTGTCACATAGCATTTCATACATTACAAGAGTAAAACACTTCAGCAATACTAAAAGTGGGCAATACTGCATTACTTCTTAATGGGCCATTAAGGTGTACAAGCTAGAGAGCCTTCTGCAATCTTTCTCCATCAGGGCCATTTTTCGAGCTCATAAAACAAACGTTGTGGCGATTGATTGCTGTGTTCCACACTGTCCATATTGAGTAACAAATTCTTCCTCGAAAGTCTCTACCTACAATAGTAGTCTCCTATACTATTGAGACTCACCAGAGATTCCACCAGTGATACGTGCAGTATGGTGAGAACTAAAACACATCTGTGGAGGAGCTCTGGGTGTGAATAAGCCATCGGAACAGCTCTCATGACCTGCAAAGAGACTTATACATAGTTTCTCTATCCCTCATTATGAGTCTGAGTCACCTCCAGACAGACGGAGATGTTTTGAGGTGATTTTGAGACGGATTTACGCCTCTTTGCAGCCGGCTTGTCTTCTCCCACTACGATCTGGAGACCCAGTTCAATGGCCTCGCCCAGGTGCTCTGAGCTATCCCACAACTGGCTACCACAGCTCAGTAGAGAGGGCTTCAAATCCTTCAGACTGGAGGCGGAGTAATGGTTAATGGAGGCAAGTTTGTTGGTGAGCAAAATTATTGAGTTGTGTTTATCCCTGGTTATTGTGGTGCATAATTGCAATAGACAGAAGAAGTTACTAATTTTATGGTTATGTAAAGTGAATCATAATTATAGCTAAACACAAAGTGAATTGAGAGAAATATGGTTGGTTAGAAAGTTGACTGAATGAGCCTGGCCCTTGGAAAAACATTCTGCATTTCTAATGTATAGGTAAAACCTCTTGGGTAGACAGGCGGCAGTCTGTTTGAAGCACACCCCCAAAACTGCCTCCTGCAGTTCCCTCATCTCCTGAAAACTCTCCGAACGCAAGAACTGGCGGGCAACCTTCCTTGCCGTTAGCCCCGCCCCCTCCCTGTTTCTTTCAGCTGAACCAAGGGCAGAATGGAGAAACGAGGCTATGTTACTGAGGTGTGTTGGAAGGAGAAGACTGCCGTGGAGCTGAGATAGGTTTGAAAGAGCCAAATCCCACACGGCAATGGGGAAATTCCTCTCGTCGACATCCAATTGCTGATCCAAGAAAGAAACGGGAGATTCATCAACAAACAGAGTCAATGAGAGATTGTGAGCTAACCTGCCCACTCCAAGACGACGTGGGATCCAACGTACACTCCACTGACCCAAATATCTCGTTCGTATGCAGTGCTGAGACCTCAGGAGAAAGGCTGTCTTTTACAAACCTCAACCGCTGTACTGACAGTGCTCTCTGTAGAAGAGAAGATAACTCAAGTAATGTTTAGGTGAAATAAATTGTCCCTTCGTGAGATTTGAAACCAGGACTAGTTGTGGAGGTTAGAGCTAACCAGAATGTATCTTGCAGCAAATCCTCCATTCTCTGTCCCGTTCCCAGTCATCCTCGGCTCAGGAACCCGTTCAGAGCCCTCTCCGTGATTCCACACGAACCTCCTTATTTCGTCGCCACTCCAAAGAGATGTGCGACCAGTCGCCTGGTGGCTGGAGCCTGCAGTATCTACTGGGGACGATCGGGTTAGAGGTGGCTCTGTGGAGAAGATTTCTCTGAGACAAAAGAGAAAGGTGTGGAGACCGTGGTCAAGATGGAGGGTGGCTGTCACCAGGTCCGGCTGCAAGAAACATTGATGGTGATAGTGTGTTATTCTTGCACTGAAACATGTGCACATTAAACTGAAAGGCAGATATATAGGCAACTGGGCAGAAGAGTCAAAAGGGAAGACAAGTGAATTGTCTTGGATTTGTAGTTGTGTTAATAAGTTTGCTAGAATCCCAGTCACTAGTACTGCATTGACTGATTCTACCTCTGCCAACTATTTCTCAGACCTCCTCTAGTAGAAATTCTTTTCACCCACTCACCATCTCCTTTGCAGCCACCACGAGAGGCAGCTGCACATCTCTCTGGACTGCCAGTAGAGCCTCCCTTGCCTTCTCCCTGTGGAGACCTCCACCTGTCCACACCGACAGCGGCGAGTTGATCAAAACGAGAGAGAGTACGTCAACCCCGCGCAGTAGAGCTGAGGCCAAAGAACTCGAGACAAATTCTTCCCCGCTCGTTGCTACAACTGTCCCATTCTCGTGGCTTCGTCTCTTTCGTCTATTCCTCGGTCTTGCCTCCCGTACCACCTCACTTCTGTCGTTGGCTCGAGGCCCGAGTTTAGCCAGGAATACTGACTTGACGGAGTTTGTAACTTGCTCGAGGAGAGCCACACACTGTCCAGCGGGCGTTTCCTGCACCTGCCTGCAAAACCTGCCCACAGATAAAAAAAACCTACTTCTGACCACATAATTTGCAGTGGGGAACATTAAGGGAGCAAGAGGTTATGAATGCGGATCACCAAAGTGGGGGACCAATTGTAGGTCTCCGCAAAAATCTATTCGTAGTTTCAACGATTCACAAAAGCTCTATATACTTCCTACATGTATATTCTTCTCTGGATCCGCATACATGTTCACCGTCCGCATATACAGCACACCAGAATTTTCATTTTCCCTCGTTCTCATTACAAATGAGAATGTAAAGATGTAAGTATGCATATATACCAGTCTTCAGCAGGTTTGGAAAAAGCCGGAGAGATGGACGTGGGAAGACAAGGAGACGACGCTAGTTTCTCGAGTGCTGAAAACAGACAACCAATCAGCACACCCAACTGAAACAGACCAAAGCAACAGAACGAGGATTATTCATCGTGTCAGTGTGCCTTTTTGAGTTTACCTGATGAAGCTTCGAATAGATACTGATACACTGTTTAACAAATGGGTCCAAGCTCATCCTCTGTATATACAGGGGGGAAAGGTGATTTTGGTACTATACTCACCTATAAAGCCTTCACACTCACAGAGTTGCCGGTGGAGGTGGTCAGGAGCAGCAGGCCGGTCAGCAGAGGCTCCACCAACTTATGGTTGACTTGCAGAGCTTCACAAAGGCACTCGGCAGACACTCCCATATTGCTGAATGGATGTTCACACGCTTATTAAGGCAAATGAGTATAGCTCTGCTAGAAAATCACCCGAGGTTGATGTTCTTCACCACCTCAGTGCAGAGAAAACTGAGGTACTTGAATTGTCTGCTTCCCTGAGACTGATCTTCCATTACCTATACATAATACAGAGCAGTAGTGGAGGAAGCCATTGGTACGAGCATTTCGTGCTCATAAAATCTGCATAAGAGTGCCATCCAGGGCTAGAGCTATATTTCTTTGGAGAAGCCTATAGGCATAGAAGATGTGAATGCTTGTCTGTTACCATTCTAGAAAGCACATAGCTACAGGTGTGTATCTGGGCTATATAGGAGATCTCACCTGATAAACACCATGGACACGCAGCAAATGAAGACAGGACTTCAGAACTTTCAACACTGGCTCTGTGATTGCTGCATCTTCTGGTTCGCATGTCTCAGTTTGAATTCTATCAAGCAGCTGTTCCCAATCAATTTCTTCATCGTTCTTCTCTTCCTCCTCTTCCTCAACATCCTTATCCTCCCCCTCCACCCCCTCTTCACCTTCCCACGTCTCACCATCCTCACAACCCTCACCACTCTCCTCTTCTTCCCTCTTGGTCGAATCAATCTTTACCCTCTTCCTCTGAGATTCTCTCGTTCTCTTACTGTTACCATGGATTCTGTTTTGGTGACCGGTAGTGGGAACCTGATGACCCACAGCAGCTTCAGAAAAAAGTTGAACTCTATTGCTCTAGACAACTTCTTTAATTCCCTGAAAATTTAGCAAAACCACTTAACATTATGCATAGCTATAGGCCCTATTGAGTACTGTTGTAAAATCTACTGTAATTCTTTTGCATATCTCAATGTGCTACCATAGAAAATGTATGGGTGGCTAGAGAAATAGGCAAAAAGGTAATTTGGGAGCTATGTAATTGAGTAACCTGTTCTGACGTAGGAAGCCCTGGAAAAGTGTTGGAACTGCATTAAGAACAGCATCTCTGTCACGGTCACTAGTGACATTGCTGTAAAGTAGGTCCCGGATAGTTGAAAAGAGGAGTTTGGTGTAGCTCATCTCAGTGCTCTGGCCTCTACCAGTGCCAGGGGTAGATACCACTGCACTGGACAAGGCTGAGGAGAACTCCAACAGATGGTCCCTACAACAACCAAGACTCACAATATAACCACAAAAATGAACACAGCACACTATGGCTGTAGGCCACACACACAACTATTATAGCCAAAACAGCACTAACTAATGGAATAGCTGTGGTTCACAGTTTTCATGCAGCAAAATGGGTTTCTGGTATTACTGATGCTTGGCAACCACGAAAATAAAGTATTACTGATGCTTGGGAACCAGGAAAATAAAATGGTTTCTGGTATTACTGATGCTTGGCAACCAGGAAAATAAAATTACCAAGCCTTAGAGTTAATGAATTGGTAACTTTTACAGGTCTTACGAATGTGGCGTGATAGGCTTTTTCACTAACACATTTTGCAGTCTTAGATCTTCAGGTTGAGTTTTGCAAGTTTTTTTAGCCCACACACTCGCATATCATACCTCCCAAAGAGCGAGCAGAGAAGAGTATCAAGTTTCAGGAGTAGAGGTCCTGAGCTAACCAATGTAGACTGCCTTAGTCCGATCACTGAAGGTAGTAGCTGGACACAGATGGCCTTGAATACCTGTCCATCATAATGACCAAACATCACCATAATTAGTGAACTTTTGAGCAAAACTGAGAGATTTTGCAGACAGCAGTTGTACAGTAGTAACATGCTTGCCGCCTGATACACCAACAAATTTATCGAACATTAAATGTTTTTCAGCTAATATTATACAGTCGTAGTCACAATATCAGCGTTCAAAAATACACCTTTGATTTTACCTTCTTTTGATTTCCCTGGGTCCCTTGCAGATAGGTAAAATGGTCCAGCAGGAAGCAGAGCACTTTCTCGGCCAATGGAGATGCTTCACTCTCATCCAGTGGTTCTTCTTCTTACAAGAGACACTGGAGGCTGAAACCAGTAACGCCAAAAGTAGGGATACCTGCATAAGCACAAGTAGAACTTTCACGGCAATGTATTATACAATCTTAGTCTCTATTCAGTGGGTAAGGTCTTCAAAATTACTCACCACCACTTCAAATTTGTAGAGTATGGGTGGGAGGGTGAGTCGGTTATTGAGGATGCACAGTAGGCAGGTGAGTAGCCTGACTGCACACACTTTTCTTTGGCTCCATGACACCCCAGGACTTCACCCATTGCCTGCGGACATAATTATCCGATAGCAGAAGGATAATTCTTGGCCACCTTAATGGATATTCTGCAATTGTTTGTTTGACGAACAAACATGCCGAATGCTTAACAAACTTAATTTCACCGCTTGAAGTTGAAGGTTATGTGCATATTTAAAGCACGATGATCATGCATTTAGTCCCCAGCTTGAATACATAAGCCATAGAACCATGTGTGTATGTAGCAGAGACCTGAAGTAGGTGAAAAGACACAAGTGACCCCAGTGGCACCATTGCTGAGCCCTCCTCTTTCTCTTGCCTCTGGCTCGAGAGCTGTCTACTGTCCATCATGGTAGCCAGGAACAACCACAGCTGGGAGCACACATCCGCCGCGGGAGGGCTCCTGGTGGACGAAAAACCCTCACCCCGTCTCTCTAGTGCTAGAGTTAGGCTTCTTGGCTTGTTTAGCTAGCTAGATGGCTTCTTGCCTGTTCTTCTTGTTGTAGGTCCGGCATATCTCTTCGCAGGCCCACCGCGTGAGAAACGAGACGCGGTCCTCTGGAAGAGCCGAGCTCCCGTTCCTGGCAACGGCACACGCCACCCTCAGACGCTCCTCAGTCCTCAGTGAAGCGTCGCGCAAGGCCCGTTCCATAGCTGAACGTATAGATATAGACGTCTACACGTGGTTTAGCCCCGCCCCAAAATTAACGCCGCGCATGCCCGGTCAGAGATCTCTGTTCGTTCATAAAAGGTAAAAAGGTGACGATGTCGGACGATCACGAGTTACCCGATGGATTTGTGAAAAAGACAAAAAGGAGTATTTCCCGACCCTAAAGAGCTGCGTCAATGATGGAGACCACTAACGAGCTGGCCATGACCGCTAACGGGCATGGCGACACGCCGTTATTGACCGCATCACGTAGGGGACAACTGGAGGTGCTGCGAACGCTCCTTGCCGAGCACGGCGTGCCGCTGGAGCACACTAACACGGACGGGAAAACGGCGCTGCACGAGGCTGCTCAGGAAGGTCACGTCGATTGCGTACGACTACTCCTGGGCTCCGGAGCGCAGGTCGACAGCCTGAAAAAGGCCGATTGGTGAGCGCAGAAGACTTCGTGCCGCAAATTTTGTAATCATGTGTTTTTTTTCGCAAGGACTCCACTGATGCTTGCATGTACTAAGGAAAATCTTGCAGTTGTGGAAGAACTGGTGAAAAATGGCGCATCTTTGAGTCTAGTAAACAAAGATGGGTGGACTCCTTTCCACATTGCCTGCAGGTATATATACATGATTGAAAACGGAGTAAACTGCTTCATGGAAAAAAATTTGTAGAGAGGGTCACACTTTCATCGTAAAATTTTTGCTGGATTCTGACCCCGGTTGCTGGGATACGAGGACCAAGAACGGTCGCACACCGCTCCACACTGCAGGTAGGGTATATATATACCCTTCCTTGTGTGCACACAGACAGTGTGAGAAAGGAAGGAAGCACCAGGGCTTATCCTTGGCTGGAATGGTGTTACAGTCATTAGAAGGCAGTGACAAATGAATAATATTATGTGGGTTGGTGTGCTCTCACCTTTTTTTTTGCTTATGAACATGAACTTAGTGTTTTCTTGAAGAGGAGGATATGAATAACTACTAGCATCGTCAGCAGAACCATTGCTAGCCATGACGTAACCTGAGCCTACAAAAATAGCATAGTACTGCATGGTTTATGCACATCAGACAAGGTGCCTCGCTTCAGTCACCAACAATGACAAGAGAGTCAGGGATGATTGACCTTTTCTTTTCTCTTGGCCCATGGCCGGCTGGCAGCTCTCCACGGGAGGCTGGAGGTGGTCCAACTGCTACTGGAGCGGTGTGACTACGAGGCAGACCCCAGGGACACCAGCGGTGTAACTCCTCTCATGGACGCTGCACGCGGAGACCACGTCAATGTGCTGCAAAGCCTCTTACAGCACAACAAGGTTTGTTCTATATACAGCGTTTGTGTTGAAGATCTCCCTATGGTGAACTCTTTCATACGTGCTATCGTTTCTTTCTCTTGGGGAAGAGTTAACTTATGAGGGCAGAGCTCAGCTTTAGAAAAGGCTATTAAGTGTGTGAGTACCAACTTTGATAGTATAATGGACATGCACTGAGTCTTTAGGGACTTATGGGTGCATTTAGGCAACCGAGAATAGCGTACAAGTGATGAAATACGCGACAGTACAAAAGTGGCTGTGTACATTTCATTCATATAGTTGTCCACACCTCTGACTGGTCAGAAGTCATGTCACCAGCACAAAAATCTGTGTGTTTCTCTTTGCACGTAATGGTTTTTCCCTGCACTTGTTGCAACTCCAAGGGGCCTTTTTTACAAATGTATGGAATATTCAGGGTTCCCTGGAGGCAGAGGACTTGCAGGGAAGGCGAGCAGTCCACCACACAGCCCAGGCAGGTGCCAACAGTGCCCTCTCACTGCTCCAGCGAGAGGGAGCCAGCATTGAGGCTGTAGTCGTCAACACTGGACAGACTCCACTCCACTGTGCAGCAAGAGTAAGGAAATATTAGCGTAGTGCTGTAGTTTATGCACCATCTAAGGATTTAATGAGCTACACTATACCTAGAATGTAGCATAATTATTAATTTATATTAATGAGCTGCAGTAACAACACATACCTAAGAGAATGTAGCATATTTGTGTGAGCAGGAGCAACCAGAGTTATGCAGCAAATACTACTACACAAAATGAATGTGTAAAACACTTGCACACGCTTATACCCCATTTTATGTACACAATGGGACGTCTAGAAGGCATGACTAGCTATTATGCCTCAGCGTCCACAGTCAGCAGCTAGCGTTCGTGTCTTGGTGGGGAACAGAGCATCATAGTCGAGCATTGCCTGCCTAGGAACATGCATTACCACCCTCACTCATTCAGGAGGGCCAGGCGGGGACCATTTCTATACTGCTGTCCCTGGGAGCTGACCCAAAACTCACTGACAAGACAGGAAAGACTGGTGAATGAAATAACTGGAGGTTTTGTCACACGAGGGACTGCATAGTAACTGGTGGTACTACTGCTGCGCCTACACAAAGTTTTGATTGGAGGGATTGTATAGTGTAACCACTACATAAACACTACATAAACCTGCAGACTATGTGTCAGTTCATT